TATATATAACTCCACGGCCACCATATTTGACTACAATTCGAAGGCTTTATTGCAATATTAGGCTTCAAGTTCTTAATCTTTCAATATAATAAATTTTAGTCATTGATCCCTTTTATTCTTGCAACCCACGTATTCTTTGGTTCAATTCAAGTCCTTCACTTTTCAAAATATTCAATTTGACCTTCAAACATTTCAATCTTCGATTCATGGTCCGGATCAACTATTGAATTGTGACAACTTGGTCCTCGAACTTTTGCATTTCCCCCTTTTTTTGCTTCATTCCTTCAATTCTTTTTTCTTCATAAAATTTCACCTATTAAACATAAAAGACAAAAATTTAGAATATAATTTGTCAAAAGAACCATCAAATATCTTTATTTTAAGGTACCGAATAAGTGTATAAAATACACTTATCACTCCACATAATCGTGGTATGCTCCCAATTTGCTTAGACACAAAAAGGAGGGGGAAAAAGGAGGAGGCAGTTGTAATAGTCCATCAATGTCTCTAGGTTGTTGATTGGTCGTGTAACAATGTAAAATTTTCATTTGCTCTTATTTGGCTTGTTTGTTTGAAATATCTAAAAATGGCTTGTTTATTATTTGTGTTGTGGATTTAATTTGGTTGCATTTACCTTGTGATTGTTTGTTTCATTGTGCTTATTTTTTTCGTGAATGTAAATGGCTTCTTGTTTTGATTTTATTAGGAAAATACCAAAGATTGTTTTCTTGTAACTTTTTTATTGATTTGAGTTTGGTTCCATTTACTTTGTATTTGTTGGTTTGTTGATTGACAGTCTTTTTTTTTTTAAATTAAAAAAATTCAGATTATTGCCATTTTGAGATTCTATGTGCTTTCATTTTTCATTTTTTCGTTAATTATTACTGGTGTGGATTAATTGTTTTCTTGTATTTTTGTTGTGAATTTAAATGGGTTGCATTTCCTTTGTGATCATCTTGTCGATTGATTTACTTTTTTTTTTCCAAATTTATTTGACTTGTCGTTGACCTTAGGTCCTCGTTTTGTTTTGTTTCTTTATTTAATTTTTACATCCAAATATGTTATTATTATTATTATTATTATTATTATTATTATTAACTATTGTTTCTTTTATTGTTTTCATGTCTTATATTGTATGTATAAATGTTGGTACGAGTTTGTGATTGTTCATTTTGTGCATTGATTTAGCTTGACATATTTCCTAGTAGTTGGTCCTTTTTTTTTCCCCGCTGATTTCTTTGGATTTAATATATGTGTAAATATATTGAATATTTAATTTATTTATTTATCTTAATATTGTTGAGGCATGTTAAATTGTTCGGAACGTACTTATTTCTAAACAAGAATTTAAAAGGTGTGGCAAGGTACCCACAAATCTTATAAACCTAGCTTAATAGGTTTTTGTTCTTTTATTTTTAATGTTATTTAATTAATTTAGACCACATTTTATGAACCAAACTCTTATCATAGATTATGCATAGATCAAAAATTCTTTTTATGGAATAAAATGTTGCTATTTCGAGAGCACAACAAAACATCTTCTAAAAATATTAATGCATTTAGACTATGTGAGAAACTACCATTTTATTAGAATATTAATATTTATTTAGTGGTGCTTTTGGTAGAGATTGCACGTTGCATATGAATTTAAAGTTTATGCAGGAACTAAAAATAATAATCAACTTTAGTGAACATAAATTTTTTGTACAAGAGTATATGCACGTGTTTGGTGCATATTAAAAATTAAATTTTGATTTTGGTAAAATTTTATAAATGTTTAAAAAAAGTATGGACACCCCCCTATTCGCCCCCCCCCCCACCCTACACAACCCCCTGAACGTCCGGCTTTCCCCTTGTGTAAAATAGTAATATCTGACAATCAGCAAGCTAACAAATTTAAAAAGATTTTGCTGTTTGTACATCAGAGCATGACAGCTCGGAAGATAGCCCCCAATAAAAAAATCACAAGTCCCTGAATATACATATAGCAAAATTCAATTTAAAAACATGCTTCAAGAAAGAAATTAAGTAAGTGAAAATAACATCTACCCATATTTTTCACTTCACAATTCAAAAATAAGATTACATTTTTTTTAATTCAAAAATCAGATGATTTAATATTAGTAATTATATTACAAAATTAAGCCATTATTTGTTTTCCATTATTTTCAAAATACAAATATTTTCTCTATTCTTTTCAACCACTCATTCTTCAATAAAATTACACGCAAATTAATTTTTTTTTTTTAATTGCACATTCTACTATTCTAAAATGCATTATTAAACAAGAGAGAGAGAGAGAGAGAGAGAGCTCAAAAGACGCTAAATTAATACACATATCCAACCACCCAACAAAACCCTAATATCTCTCTCTCTCTCTCTCTCTCTATTGCAACCATCGAAAACTATCGTTGGAGACCATTGCAGCAACGCTCACCTGAGATGACACTGGAGAGTTGAACCATTGTGTAGCGGAGATTGTGAGTAGCATGCAGCAAAGATGTTGAACCATTGTGGTGGTGGTGGTGGTGGTGGTGGTGGTGCTGTTGACAGTGCTCGTGTGGTGGTGATGTTGGCGGTGCGGGTTATTTTTGGGGTGGATTTTATTGTTTGTGTTTGCAGTTGGTGATGGTAGTCATGGCAATGGTTGTGGTTAGAAGTGGAATTTTTCTTTTCTTTTCTTTTCTTTTCTTTTTTTTTCCAAAATTGGCGGAATCGGAATTGGATAGAATCGATTGGTTTGGTTCTAATTCCTTTATTAAATGGATCAATTTTGGAACCATGCATCGAGAACCAATAGTGATTTCAATTCTTCTTAATCCCTCTTTTTGTTGATATATTGCAAAATATGCACAAGATATTTATTTGAACACTAAATTCTAAAATTATCACAAGCCAAAATTTTACTATCCATAACTTCTTCTTTCTATTACGATAAAACTTAATGGATAATCAACATTTAAATCTAAATAATTACATAAATAATTTACAAAATTTTATAGATTTAATGCAACCCTAACAGGAAAGGGTGTATTTTAAGTTCAATTTTTCGTAATAAATCAAATTTCTCATTGTTTCAAAGTAGTCAATCAGAATCAAGATCTTCTCCTTGAAGGTAATTTTATTACAAAAACTACATACATTGTTTAATATTATTATATGAATTTTCTTAATAATTAATTTTTTATCCAAATGTTAGTTTATATTGTGTTTAATAATTTATCCTTTTTATGCCCTTATCAACACATTGATTCTTGGAGTGTATTTTTATTTGTTGCTGTATTAATTATGTTTTATCGATTTTTGATTGAAAAGTAGTTTATTACTTTATTTTTATGAAATTTTTAATATAAAGAATCGAACTAGGCCAATAGTACTTGATTCTATAACTAAATATGGAACCGATAGTACCATTTTTAAGATTCTCATTGGTACTTGATTGGGTTCGGTTCTCATCAGAATCATACTAAACCAAATCGGATCACGCCAACTTCTAGTTGTGGTGGTCATGGCAACGACGGTGATGGTGGTGATGGTGATGGTGATGGGTGGAATGATCAAAATGGTGTGCTCACTCATAAAAATAACAGATCCCACGTGAATTTAAAAAATGTCGTCTTTTGGTCCTCACCTTTATTGTTAGTGAGGGAGTTTTTGAAAAAAAAAAAAAATTGCACATATAACATAATCCTTAATTTGATAAATTATGTTAAGACTGCAATTGTGAATAGTAAACAACTGTGACCATAAATTGTACAGTCTATGACTAATATATTTAATTAATAAAATATGTTTCAATTAAGACCTGATTTTTAAAATAATAAAACTCATTTCTCAATTGTATTTTACAACCCACCTTATATCCGTATTGTTCCCATTTAGCATTTTAGGTTTTTTATTCCAACTAGGCTACTGTAATGGCACATGCGAATCGTATACTGAAGTGATCGAGTACGGCGATACAATAACTACAAATTTTAATAATCAACTTGAAAGTATAAAGAAACAAAGTGTTTTTTTTTTTTTTTTTTTTTTTTTTTTTTTTTTTTTTTTTAGCAAATAAAAATTAAAGGATTGTGTTATGGTCAAATTAAAAAAACACACACACACACATATACAGCAAAGAGACTATGTAAGCAAAGAAAAGGCAAGCAAGCAAAGAAAACAACTCGCAGAAATAAGAAAAAACAGCAGCAAATAAGACATGAGTTATGCGAATATCCTGTAAAAATGGCTACTGTGACATCTAAATATTCAGCAAATGAGCAACTATTTTTATACCATTACAAGTTTCCCCTTAAAGAAGCAGGCAGCACATTTGCAGGACTAGCCACCTTCTTTCCAACATACACCATAATCCTTTCGACGAATAAGATTTTCTTTCTCAATAACTCTAGATGAGATTAGAGGACGAATTCAAATGAGAAAGTTGGACAACCTGTACATTTCACCCTTGTGTTTATTCTCCAGAGTTTTTACGGAAGAGCATCAAAATAAAGCTCCACAGATGACAGGCGAACATTCGACACAACAAACAGTTAAAGACAATATTTTACTGAAATAAGCAGCATGTAACCACTTCCCTACAAGAGGGAGAGGGAAAGAAGATAGGAACCTTAGGAATTCATAAGTTAGTAGGAACCCGAGGCATTAAAACGATGCCAAGAGAAGGACACAGACCTAAGCCTGTATAACTGCAAAGCTTCTATGAGATCTTTGCTAACCCATCACTGATTCAGGATTTATTTGTCCACTGCTTTCACCATGAACATTGGAACCAATAACAGGCATAGATCGCTGAGCAAAATTAAGTAATAACTTCCTCTGATGCTCGTTAGTGTGTGGAAGACTAGCACGGAGAAGTTCCACAGGCATTTCCCTGCTTACAGCTAGTGCAGCCTCTGAACCAATTACCTCTGTGTTTGGCTGGGTTTGAGCAAAAACTGATTGTACTATACTGTCATATTTACTCACGCAATACTTGGTCAATAGACCAAAAAAGGCATCAAATGAAGCCTGCCAAAGGGCAGGATTCGGCATGCTAAAGTTGCTATCAGTCTGATGATCTGTTAGTAAGTGCGTTGCTCTTTCTAATACAGATTTCAAGATGACTGAGGCACCATCTCCTGCAGGACTCCCAAGAGGACGGAGAGGTGGTTGTTCTGAGGAACAAACTACTGCAGCCAAACAAGCACTAAGAGAATTAAGATCCATACTGCTGACACACAGACACACAGATTTAGCAAGACTACTAATTGTCTCGATTGCACCAGGATCAGAGGGAAGGCCTCCATAAAGAAATCTTAAATGACGAAAGATGGCCATGCAAACTATTCGGGCAAGCTCACTACCAGGTAAAAGAAGCCGTAGAAATCTTGAGACAAGTTTCCGACCTTTCGAAATAGAGACTATTCGTAGAAACACAATGTCATCCTTGGGAGCCATCCCAAGAGTGTTACCATTTTTTCCAAGTGGGTCAACAAGCTGAAGAGAGGCTGCTAATCCTTCTAACAGAATATGCCGCTTCCGTTGAAGCTGACTGCCACCATCTTGGGGTAGACTGAATTGTAGGGTTCGGTCAATATCATCTACATCTAGAAGAAGACAAAGGCCATCCTCAATTGTAACCCTTGCTGCAAGCATTGGTTCTTGCTCCAAAGGCTTTTCAGATATTTTTTGTTCAGCATTTCCATCACCAGAAGCAGAGGGAGGAGAGTCAACTTCAAGAAGTGGGTGGAGCCTGCGGATAGAAGAAAATGAAATCCTCCCATGAGCATCAACATGGAGATGTGGCTGGGATTCTGCACCGTGACGGGATTTGGAAGGTTGGTCCCTCAGGTGAGATGGGAAGAAACGAAACTTTGACCTCATTTCAGCTGATTTCTTTGCAAGACGAGCTTGGTGATAATAATCATCTATATATGGGTCATTGCCATGGGTTGCAGCATGCTGAATTTTGAGAATGTTCTCTATTTCTTCAGCTGTCATGTACTTGGACGTAAACTGAGACAAATTACTATTACTCCTTTGGGTACTAGAATCAGAACCTTGGCGAGAGAATCGCACACTATTTCTACCTTTTGTTGCCGATTTTGACTTTGACTCCCTCTTATCAGCCAATCCATATTTACTCAAATGTGATGGTGAAGGGAAGCTATTAAACTGTTGAGATCGTAGTGCTGGAAAATGGGCTAAAGATGGTTGAAGTGATGGATGCAGTCTCTGATGATGTGGGGTCATTAGCAGCGGCGACAACAATGCATTCTGATATTGATGGTGCAAGATATTGTTCAAGAGACTGGAATGGTCCCCATGAAGGAGGCCCGCATGGCTAGTCCAGTGGTTTTGTAGCCTTCTATTAAGAGAGAGATTAGGTGAGGTTAAGTTTGAAGTGTTTGCATTATAGTGCGATCCACGAGGCAAGCCAGACAAATGCAGATTTGAATTAGATAAAGGAGAGTTGTTTGGAGCAGAGAAGGGTGACTGATTTCCCCTAGAGAGAGAGGGCAAATTAAGATGATGTAAATTATCCAAAGAAGGTTGTTGAGATCCTGGCAGCGGAAAGGAAGTAAAAGATGACTGTGGTAATAAAATAGGCTCACTAGCATAGTGCTGGAGCTGCTGCTGCTGCTGCTGCTCAGGATACGAAGATGTTCTGTGTAATGGTCTTGATTCTGAAAGATGAACTGAAGAAAGATGTGGGTGGGATGACCACCTCTTGCTTTCTTGATAATATTCAGAATCAGAAATATGCCGATCAAGCCAATCAGGAAAATCCGTCTCTTGTGCCCATTCAGTAGCAGATGAACCTGAAACAGCTTCTTGTTAAACATAGAACCAACAAAAACATGGTGTTTTTTTTTTTTGAATGTGGGTTCATACCAACTTGAACTCTTGATCTTGAAAGTGGAATTTACTACAAAATTCCACCAGACAAAAAAAGCTGGTACAGAGAACCAATAAAAACATCATATCAACAAATGAAACAGTGGATGGAATTTTAATTTCAAATTTCCCAACCTTGAAAACACGTAATACATCAAGTACCATATATCAATTACAGTCAGATTAGATAGTAAATAAAAGGTAAGGGATTACAGCAGAGCAGATATCACCAATAGGAAAATCATCATACAAGTCAAGCACATGTTAAGGGCAAAAACTATTTACACATCCAAACACAGCGTACACTTAGCCCTTGTTTGAACCACATTATTGGAATTAAAATGCATCTTTGAATAGTGTATTGATGGGAAATGTGTTGTTAAGAAATAAAGAAAAGTTTGGGATTTGCGTGTAATATTATTTTATTGAAGAATATGTAGTTAAAATGATGTCAATTCACGGTTGAAGAATGTATTTTTTTGAAAAAATGTGGCTCAAACAAGGCCTTAATTATTCGGCAAGAGATAAAAGTAACTTTAACATGTCAAGGTGGGCTCTTAAAGGAATTGGAAGAGATTAAACCACTATAAAGAAAACCATATCATAAGCAAGTCAAAGAAAATATAATCCATGTGAAGTGCAAAAACACTTGCCACTAATCCATTCATGTAACCTTTAAGACAACCTAAAAAGATGTGTTCGCTTTGTTTCACAGAAGCTTGCATCCACGTGTTCATAGAATGGTCTATCTCCCATGGATAAATAATATTATTTATGCAGTTTCAAGTTTCGAATCATTAAGAACCGAATTCTCACAATAATCTTTAGTAAAACTTCTCTTTTTCAACACGATGTCCCTCTTCTACTATCTTAGGATTTCCTGCTCTATTTGACATTCTATTTGTTTATCCATTTCTTACTTTATTTTCCATCAATATGCTTTCATTCAATCCCAGTTAATTAACGAGAAGGATGTATAAAGAAATATCAAGTGCCCACAAAAGAAAGATTAGAACAAGGTTCAAAGCATCCTCAAAGGGCATCTCACTATATGCAAATATTTACAAACGACAAAGTAACTATGTTTTCAAAACTGCACCGGGCATTGACCCGGAGAAAAGGGTCAAAAGGTTGGACCAAGGTCGAACCAATAATTAAAAAAATTATTAATTAGATAAAATGCTTTGATAAATAATTTTAAATTTGAATTAACAGACTTCGTTTAATTCATAGCATAAGATAATAACTCTAATATAATACATTTTAGTCAAACAACATACATTTTCGTCAACTGCCAATTTAATGCAATACAAAACATACTCACTGGCCACAACAAAGCAGATTGGGAAAGTGTTTTATTTGACATTCTATATTTGGTTTAATGCTGTGGCTACTAGGCATATAGACGGGCTGCCCAATTTCATGTTTCTTTCTGGCTTAAAGTAATGATACACTTCCTGTTTATTATTCCTTGATAAATTTGATAGTTTTGAATGTAAAAGCCAACCCCCCAAAAAATAAAAAAATAGAAGAAGAAGAAGAAGAAGAAGAAAAAGAAAAGAAAGAAAAGAAATCCTTCAACCTAGCCCCTATTTGACTCCCTTTAAAACAAAACAATTTATTTATCATACTCATTTTCAACAACACGTTCATAAATTAAAATATATTGCACATAAACTCAAAACTTTTCCTCACTTTTTAACCACACATTCTAAAAATGAAAATAAAAATTACTATTCAAAACATCATTTTCACAATATAATGACTATCAAACAGGGCCTAAAATTGATATAGGTTGAAAGATGTGGCGTGAAAAAAAATCGGCAAATTCATCACAAACACTATCAATACCACCACCAGAATCCTTGTATAACCCCTAACCCCTGCAAAGTTTGCCAGTTGTGATGAATTAGAGAGATACAGTGAGATATGAGATCTTCTTACTTCAACGAAAGGAGTCTGATCCAAATTTCATAGTCGTGTAAAATCTCAAGTCTCAAACACCAAAGGTGGAGATGCCAGGGCCATCATTTTAGGAGTTTAGAATGCTAAAGTTGGGTTGACAGTAGCTGTGGTGTTCGTAGTGTCGCAATGATGGTAGCTAGTGTGCAAAGAGGGAGGGGATGGGCGTTGGGGATATAGGAATGATGGAAGAGAGGAGTAGCGGCTGGTACAGCTAGGTGGAGATGCATGTAGTATAGGAGGATGATAGATTTGGAGGGAATTTTTTACATTTTAGTATCTTATATACTATTCTTTTATTATTTTTCAATTTGGAAATTCCAATCTTATAATATTGACCCTATATAATAACACTAATTGGAACAATATGAAATTTAAACCAAAACTTGGAGACTGGAGTGATTTTTGTCCATTTTAAATCATCATATATTAAAATTTGAACTAAAAAATTCTAGAGTTTCTTAGTCTGCGTTTGTACTTTGTACTTAATATTTACTGTAACTTTTTTGCAGGAAAGTAAAAGATTAATCAACTCTAAAAAATGCAAGGTTTCTCAATCCTAGAAGCCTGTTCATTTTCATAGCCAAAGACAGAAAGGAAATGCTAGAGAAGGCGATGGCACAGGGACAACCAATACACGACGAAAGCCAAACAAGGACAATAAGCAAAAATGGAGGGAAAAGGGCCTTATCTATTCACACGAGTGCAGCAAAAATAGGAAAGATTTTAAAACCTTAGCAAACGAAATATATGGCTTCAGCTTTTGTCAAAAAAGTTGAAAACAGGAGAGCCAAAATAGCTTTCTCTTAAAATTTTATTTTGTCCTTCTGGACAACAAGATTTACAGCAGTTTAAATTATCTAGGCAAAACTGCCTCTCTTTCTCTGGTTTGAGCAACAAAGCGGCAAAAACTAGTACGAAATCTGTTAAATTACTTTTGATACATGACACAACCACAGAAAGTTGTCTACATGTATCTCAGGTTAGTCAAGATGAAGACTGTTAGTAGATAGGAAAAAATGGCTCATTTCCATCACTCCAGAGAGGGACTATTTGATCTAAATTATATGTGAAAAAACAAGGACCAAAAGGATTTAAGTATACATATAAAAAAGAAAAAAGCAGCACATAAAACGAAAAAATCATAATTCTGCAACAATTGAGATACAATAACTCACTTTCCCTTGAAAAAGATCCAGATCCTCGATCACCAATAACTCCAGGATGTCTTGGTCCAGTAACAACTTTGTTCAACTGTAGAAAAAAATGTATCTATCAGAATTACAGACATGACAAATCTTTCATATATCAGATAGAGGGAACCAACTTTCATTCTTAAAAGCGTTAAGCCCCAAGGAGACTTCACACACTAGTATATCTACAACAATTAAAATCATATTTATTAAAAAATATATAATTATATATCGATATTTACATCATCAGAAGGCATCCTCTTAAAATAAAGTACAAGCTTAAAAATAGAATCATGAATGCGTCACATCTTCCAACTAAAGATAAAGGAAAGTCCTTAAAGTCGACATAAAAATCCATAAAGAGGGTCGAAGTCTTTAACCTTCTCCATAATTACCAACCAGTTTTGATTTTCCTTCAAAAAAAACTCTGGTCTTTTCTTTCCAAACCCCCCCAAAAAATCACCCAACACCACAACTTTCACAAAGCAAACCCAAATAGAAATCCATTCAAAAACTGCTTTGCTTGACGAGCTGCACAACAAAAATCTAGCGACATCAGAGTGTAAGAACAAGTCATCCATACTTTCTGTTATCCTCCCACACACCAAGAACCAAAGGGAGAAAGTGATAAAGGGGATTCCTTTGAACTAAATAGAGAAGACTTTAGCCATGCAAACCTCTGGCTACTTGGACTCGCATACAGGTTTTTGGTCTGGTTATACGTCCATATTTTTAATTCATCAACCATCCAAATTTTCTGGATCCATGGACATGACTAAATACCCTTTTCAACCTATTTCTTAGTTTCTAAAGTAAAATGATGTCTGATACATTCAAAATCATTTGAAATACACATCAAAATGTATCTGACACAGTTATGGAATATATCTACCCAGGATATACTCTACTTTATATTGATTAATATATACACCAAAAAAATGTCCAGTCAAATAACACCTTATATGCAGGGTTATCAAATCCGGACAAGACCTGCGGTTCAGCCCGGAAACCGCCGAGCAGCTTATTGGTCCAATCCAGGGGACTTCAATAATAACATATACAAGTAACCCATTAACACCCAACCCGAACCATCCAATTCTCAGAAACCCGCCAGCCCATTCTTAACAGAACTGGATGGGCCAATATTTTACACAAAGAAAGAGGAAACCCAGATTTTTTTTTTTTCACACATTCTGTGTTAAATTGAAATGTGAAAAGCCTCCCTTCTTCTTCAGCCATATCTCTCTCTGTGCAATCCTCCCAAGAATTCAAATCCAAAATTTTCAGTTTTATTTTGATGAATTTTGATTTTATGCCATCGAAATATGTTAAAAGAAGATTTTTTTGGGCCCCTTGCTCTAAATTATTTCTTTGTTTCACATTATACACAATGATTGCATTTTCAATTTAATTACATGGGTGTATTCAACCAGCCAATTTTTTTGTTAACTTTATATTTCTGTGAATTCATAACATATTTTTCCCCCTTAATACATAGGCGATTAAACTATATAGTTTTTACACTAATTGTTCTTTTGAAGAAGCTCCTTTTTAATTGTTAGAAGTTGCCATTGCATTTTTATTCTGTAAACTTAATTTGATTGTTGCTACTGCATTCTGAACATAAAAGAAAAAGGAAGATAAAATAATAGTTATTATGTTTTATGAATGGTACCAACCTGTTTTACGGATTTGATTGTATCATATATTATGTTGTGGTATTTTAGTTAGGGAATTAGGGTTAGCATATGGACAATTTTAATTTTTACTGGTGTTATATTTTAGTTGTATTTCATGTCTTTGTGTTGTGCTATTTGTTTCATTAGTAACAAGGTTAAAGTATATTTTCACCATGCATGGATAACTTTTAAATGTTGACTTTATTTTTGCAAGCATATTCTTATAGTGTATGAAGCTATCTTGTTGAACTTTGCCACAAAAAGTAGTTTTTGATCAGTGGTTGTTTTATAGTTACAAATCCATATTTCACTATATATGATCTAGAATTTGTTGAATTTTGGCTTACAGATTGATTTTAGTCACCTAAATAACATAAGGTTAATCTAGATAGTGGTAGAAAATGTCAAAATTTTATTATTCAAATAAAATAGTTAATAATATATTTGGCATAAATTGACATGCTTGTTGAACCCCCGGGTCACCAATCGAGCCACTGACCTGCTGCATTGTCCGGGTTAGTGTACGGGTCAGGTCTCACAACTATGCTTATATGTCAATAGTTAACTCTTGTTCCACTAAGCAAATTTAAATTGAAATCGTGTAAAGCAATAGCAGAGAACATGCTGGATATCATCATTGTTAGAGTTTATATTATCGGCCCCGTCAAAGAGGAATACTCCAAGAAAAAATTTGTAACAATTATAGAGGAATTGACTTTTAAGGTAATAAAGCCAAAACTTGTGGCTAGCAATACTAGTGATTCCAAGATCCTGACCTTAGCAAATGTAGTAGCCAGATCATCTATGTCGGATAAAGATCCTAAAGCCAATCCCTGAAAAGAAAGACAAATTGAATTAATTACCTGAGCACTAACTGCCCATTGCTGATAAATGAGAATTGAGCAATTAAAAGAAACTACAATACAGAAAATCGATCAAGGTAATAATATAATGCATAAAAATACAACAAGGTCAAAATCACCCAAATTTACGGAAGTCAACAGTGCAGGATTATTATCATCCTTCCATGAATTTACAGTGTAACCAATTTAATTAGTTTGTAAATCTATCCGCACGGAGGAACAGCTAAAAACAAGTCATGCATTTGTGTTCCTTGCATTGACAATATAGAACAAAAACGACGGTGAAACAGTTATAATCAATTGCACTATTTCGTAGAATAGTGTAGTTGGAGTCAGGCCGGGTATTTCAGGAAACAAATTTTTGTCATCCATCTTGTGAGATCAAATAACAAATTTACCATTGTTCTCCATATTCCTTCTCATTACTTGACAGCCAACATCTCGAACATGTAATAAAACATTCTTAAAATGATTTCTGCAAGTACTATTCAGAGAAGGCTCTCATACACTCTTTACTCATAGAGTACCAAAACTTTGTACAAGTGTATCTTGAACAAGTTATATAACATATTCCCAAGACTTTCCAGAGTACATTTCCACAGCCCACTAGTTATTGTAGCGTGCACAAAATTAACATAAATTGGAAGAAATAGCAAGCATTCTTGGATTATTCTCGGCTAACACCAAATTAAAAAGTCTAAAAATCATGTGATTCACCTCATCTTTATCAAATAAATGATACTCATGCAACTCATCTTCGCCACCAAATCCTCCGCCAATTGCAGGAGAACTCTCTTCTTCCTCCAAACCACCCAGCTCTACCTCATCCACTATATCCTTCCCAAAAAATGCATAATGAGATGCATCGAACAGCCCGCTATCTGCATCATACAATCAAAAGCCAACTTAAAACCCAAATAAAATTTTAAATCATATTCAGAAACATATAATAAATCAGCGTACATAACACCTATATTTCAAAAAAAATAAAAATAGGTCTAATAGAAAGTAAGCAGGAAATCAGAAGGAACCAAAAAAAGTTCCCATTTCTTTTTTAGATGGAGATCTGAGCTAGTAAAATAAAAACTGAAAAAACAAAAACAACGAGTGAAGGGAAGCCTGAAGTAGAGCTACGAACCAGAAATCGAGCTGCTGGAAGCGTCGGTGAAATTCTTGAAACCATTCCCATCGGATCTCTCCATAACAACAAAATAACCTAAAAACAAAGGGAAAATCAACAAACAATAAATATAATCACAGACTTACTCCCCACCTCAAATTTCCACTGCAACAGAGATTTCAACCATAGGGTATTGAAGCAAACAAAAGACTCGAGTGGTACACACCCAGAGATTAATCTATGAATTTTTCCCTCTGAGACTGTGGCGTATATCTACCCACATAAAACACACAAATAGACATACACAAATATATGGGCAGAGATAGAGGGAGAGGTAGAACAGCTATTAGATTCTAATGTGATGGCCGGTGGGATGGAGAGAGAGAGATGGGTTTGGTTCGTTCCGCGAAGGTGAGAGACAGTAGAGAGAGAAAGGCCCCCCACCGCGGAGGGAGGCTAATATTATATTTATTTTTGCTAATTCATAGACGTATTATGGAAGAAATGGGATTGACTTTTTGATCCTTATCAATAAGCTAGCAGCTCACAGAATCACAGTCAATAAAAGTTTATTTAAGCCGCCGTTTGTTTCCATTATTTACTTATTAAAATAAAAAAATGTGATCGTTATCCATCATATCAAATTAGCGTATTTAAAAATCTACCTTTTGTATGAAGTTCGTAACCACTATATTTTTCATTCTCACCCAAATTAGATTTTGAAAAATATTACCCCTCCATGTGAGTGTGCTATCAAAGAAGATATACAATGGGATGTATATCTAATACATTTCTTAAATTTTAATTTAAATTAAAGTAAAATAATTAATATTAATCACATATTTTATGAATTTTACAACTCTTTAACCGTACATTTAAAAAAAATTATAAAAATTTACTAAAAATCTAATTTTAATTTTCACCAAACAAGAGCTCAATGTTGTTACTTCTCTTCGTAGATGGTTTGGGCCCCGATAGGAAAAATGAAACAAGGATCATGTATGGTACAGATTAAAATTTGATTTTAATTTAAGTTAAAATTAAATAATCAAGATTAATTATGCCATTCTTTGAGCCTCATTCTTTTGAAAAAAATGCATTATTCAACAGTATTTTAACATCATTTCTATCACACATTTTTCAATAAAATAATATTACACGCAAATTCAAAACTTTTCCATATTTTATAATCACACATTTCTCATTAATACACTATTCAAAAATTCATTCCTCCCCTAAAATGAGGCTCAAACAAGGGCTATATCTTTTATTGGTCCTACAATTTTTCAATCACACATTTCAAAAATTTCTATAACAATCTACTAAAAAAATCTAATTTTAATCCACATCAAAACACCCACAAAGCCTTTGTTTGGTGCATATTTAAATCGAAATGTTAATTCAAATTAAAGTCAACAATTAGTTTTAATTACATATTTTATGGAATTCACAATTTTTTAATTACACACATCATCATCTTCTATCAAATTTGACTAAAAATCTGATTTTAATCTCCATCAAACAAGGGCTAAATGCTGATGTTTATTTTTGTATCAAAGGGTGATGATGAAGCCCTTGTTTGACTCCCATTTTTTGAAATGAAAATGAATGGAATAGTATTTTTTTGAAAAATAAATGATTGAAAAAGAAGGAAAAGTTTTCGATTTACATGTAATATTATTTTATGGAAAATTGTGTGATTGAAAATACGAGAAAGAAAGATGAAATGAAATGTATGGTAATGGGGACCAAACGTGGGCTAAGGTATTTAGAGAGTAGTGTGCAGGGCAAGTTTTGACTATCCCCCCGTTTGGCCCCTATTAAATTCTATTACATTACATTTCATTTTTTCTCTCTTATGTTCAACTACACAATCTTTCATAAAAATTATTACACGTAAATGAAAAAATTTCCTTGTTTTTCAACCGCTCATTTTTCTACAAATACTATTCCATTCATTTTTATTTTTCGAAAATGGGGGCCAAACGGGGGGGCTATGTTCTTCAAGATTTTTGGTTATTGGATTTCTCCTTTATTTGCCAAGCAATGCTATTTTTGAAGCCACTCTCTTACAGTCGTGGGACACGCGATTATTTTAATCACGGGTCATAACTCTTGTATGTGAGAGGGATGTCAATTATCATATCAAAATTGTTGTGCTTATTGCATTGTTGTTAACAATTACATGCTCTTCGCATCTAGAATGTTTTTCGTCTCATGTGGCGCATTGTAAAGGTTGAACTCCAACCTTGAGGATCTCCACTGCCCCTCATGTAGCTCATTGTAGCTTATGCTTTGGCTAGGTTCTCTCTTAAGGCACTTTTCTTATTAGGAATGGCTTGGAGAATCTCCAAATTTCATTTGTAAGATGGTTTTGATTGATTCTAGTGAAAGATAGTTTTTAACTTTTTGTTGTCTTCCAAAAAAAATAAATAAATAAAAATTCATATGCTCAATTTAACTTCATGATTAATTTATAAGCTGGACACGTTCTCTAAATCCCCTGAAATTGAAGTTTGTCCCAAAAATACCCTTCGAACCCAAAGAAATACTTTTTTCCCATAAGTCAATGTATTTGACAAGTTTCTTTAGCAATGCATTTAACTTGCATAAATTATTTGACGAATTTAATTAGTAACATATTTAAAGCGTTACATATAACAACTTACAACTAATAAATGAAGTCTAAGATACGCTGAAGTAATTTCACTTGTACAAGTTATGGTTTTGAAAAAAAGAAAAACAAATTTTAATAAATTTTGATAAAATCTAATGAAGTGTGTGATTGAAAAATTAATAAAAGTTGTTAATTCCATAAAATTTATGATCGAAAATAAATTTGGAGAAAACGAGTTTTAAGAAATAAAGGACCAAACATGAAATAAATGTTACATGTATGAACTAAATTTTACTGGCAGTAAATTTAGAGCATGTTTGGTACAGCTTAAAATCAAATTAAAATCAATTTTTGACTGTTATTTCACTATTTCATCCGTTATTTTTGAATTTTTCTCTCACATGTAGGATTCACTCTATCTTTAATGGTCAAAAAATCAATTCTCAAAATCCCTACCAAACGAGTCAATTCTCAAAATCCCTACCAAACGAGCTCGTTTGGTAGGGATTTTGAGAATTGATTTTTTGACCGTTAGAAGAAAAGTGAGGTCCACATGTGAGAGAAAAAGTCAAAAATTACGGTTTGAACAGTAAAATAATGATCAAAAAATCAATTTTTTGGGGCAAAAAATCCCTACCAAACGAGGCCGTTTGTTTCCATTATTTACTTATTAAAATAAAAAAATGTGATCGTTATCCATCATATCAAATTAGCGTATTTAAAAATCTACCTCTTGTATGAAGTTCGTAACCACTATATTTTTCATTCTCACCCAAATTAGATTTTGAAAAATATTACCTCTCCATGTGAGTGGGCTATCAAAGAAGATATACAACGGGATGTATATCTAATACATTTCTTAAATTTTAATTTAAATTAAAGTTAAATAATTAATATTAATCACATATTTTATGAATTTTACAACTCTTTAACCGTGCATTTAAAAAAAATTATAAAAATTTACTAAAAATCTAATTTTAATTTTCACCAAACAAGAGCTCAATGTTGTTACTTCTCTTATTAGATGGGTTTGGGCCCCCATAGGAAAAATGAAATAAAGATCATGTATGGTACAGATTAAAATTTGATTTTAATTTAAGTCAAAATTAAATAATCAATATTAATTATGCCCTTGTTGGAGCCTCACTCTTTTGAAAAAAATGTATTATTCAACAGTATTTTAACATCATTTTTACTACAAATTTTTTAATAAAATAATATTACACGCAAATTCAAAACTTTTCCATATTTCATAACCATATATTTCTCATCAATACACTATTCAAAAATTCATTCCTCCCCTAAAATGGGGCTCAAACAAGGGCTATATCTTTTATTGATCCTACAATTTTTCAACCACACATTTCAAAAATTTCTGTAACAATCTACTAAAAAAATCTAATTTTAATCCTCATCAAAACGCCCACGAAGCCTTTGTTTGGTGCATATTTAAATCGAAAATGTTAATTCAAATTAAAGTCAACAATTAGTTTTAATTACATATTTTATGGAATTCACAATTTTTTAATTACACACATCATCATCTTCTATCAAATTTGGCTAAAAATCTGGTTTTAATCTCCATCAAACAAGGGCTAAATGCTGATGTTTATTTTTGTATCAAAGGGTGATGATTAAGCCCTTGTTTGACTCCCATTTTTTGAAATGAAAATGAATGGAATAGTATTTTTTTTGAAAAATAAATGATTGAAAAAGAAGGAAAATTTTTCGATTTACATGTAATATTATTTTATGGAAGATTGTGTGATTGAAAATACGAGAAAGAAAAATGAAATGAAGTGTATCGTAATGGGGGCCAAACGTGGGCTAAGGTATTCAGAGAGTAGTGTGTAGGGCAAGTTTTGACTATCCCCCGTTTGGCCCCTATTAAATTCTATTATATTACATTTCATTTTTTCTCTCTTATTTTTAACTACACAATCTTTCATAAAAAATATTACACGTAAATGAAAATTTTTCCTTATTTTTCAACCACTCATTTTTCAACAAATACTATTCCGTTCATTTTCATTTTTCGAAAATGGGGGCCAAACGGGGGGCTATGTTCTTCAAGATTTTTGGTTATTGGATTTCTCCTTTATTTGCTAAGCAATGCTATATTTGAAGCCACTCTCTTACAGTCGTGGGGCACGCGATTATTTTAATCACGGGTCATAACTCTTGTATGTGAGACGAACGTCAATTATCATATCAAAATTGTTGTACTTATTGCATTGTTGTTAACAATTACATGCTCTTCGCATCTAGAATGTTTTTCGTCTCATGTGGCGCATTGTAAAGGTTGAACTCCAATTTTGAGAATCTTCACCGCCCCTCATGTGGCACATTGTAGCTTATGCTTTGGCTAGGTTCTCTCTTAAGGCACTTTTCTTATTAGGAATGGCTTGGAGAGTCTCCAAATTTCATTTGTAAGATGGTTTTGATTGATTCTAGTGAAAGATAATTTTTAACTTTTTGTTGTCTTCCAAAAAAAATAAATAAATAAAAATTAACATGCTCAATTTAACTTCATGAATAATTTATAAGCTGTACACGTTCTCTAAATCCCCTCAAATTGAAGTTTGTCCCAAAATACCCTTCGAACCCAAAGAAATACATTTTTCCCATAAGTCAATGTATTTGACAAGTTTCTTTAGCAATGCATTTAACTTGCATAAATTATTTGACGAATTTAATCAGTAACATATTTAAGGCGTTACATGTAACGACTTACAACTAATAAATGAAGTCTAAGATAAGCTGAAGTAATTTCACTTGTACAAGTTATGGTTTTGAAAAAAAGAAAAATAAATTTTGATAAAATCTAATGAAGTGTGTGATTGAAAAATTGATAAAAGTTGTTAATCCCATAAAATTTATGATCGAAAATAAATTTGGAGAAAACGAGTTTTAAGAAATAAAGGACCAAACATGAAATAAATGTACGTGTATGAACTAAATTTTACTTGCAGTAAATTTAGAGCATGTTTGGTACAGCTTAAATTTCAATTAAAATCAATTTTTTGACTGTTATTTTACTATTCCAATCATTTTTGAATTCTTCTCTCACATGTAGGACTCACTCTATCTTTAACGGTCAAAAAATCAATTAACAAAATCTCTACCAAACAAGTATTTAAAATTGGCTATCTAAAATTTTATCATCAATCTTATCCATTGAAAAAAGATTCAACGAAATGGGATTTGACTTTCTGATATTTTAACGACTAGCAATTCGAATTAAATACACAAATAGTCCATAAACTATACACATTCTCTAATTCCCCCCTCAAAAAATTTGTTCCAAGCTAACATGAACCCAAATAATATTTCGTGTCCAGTTGTCAATCTATTTGACAAGTTTCTTTAGCAACTTATTTAACATTGAAAATATTAGTAAAACGTCACCTATTTTTATTTTTTATAATTTATAAATGAGATGTAAATTTAATGGTGATAAATAACGATATCTCGTTAGAGTTTACTTTTATATTAAATTTAGAATCGACTATATAAATTTGTGATTTTAATTTTATTTATTGAAATGTTCAATGAGATCTTTAGAGAAACTATCTTGATGCATAGAAAATCCAAGAGAATTACACCAATGGCCTCCAACCTATGTACGTAGTTTGTTAAAAATAAAAATAAATAAATAACGTAGTCCTATTCTTATCTATTGTAGGCAACAAGCAATTCAACACGCATTTATCCAAGATGAACGGTGATGTCAACCGGCAAGCATATCGAAAAACAACGATTAGTGGTTAAACTTTGACGGTCGAATTAAATACACAAATAGTCCATAAACTATACACATTCTCTAATTCCCCCCTCAAAAAATTTGTTCCAAGCTAACATGAACCTAAATAATATTTCGTGTCCAGTTGTCAATCTACTTGACAAGTTTTTTAGCAACTTATTTAACATGAAATTATTAGTAAAACGTCACCTATTTTGATTTTTTATAATTTATAAATGAGATGTAAATTTAATGGTGATAGATAACAATATCACGTTAGAGTTTACTTTTATATTAAATTTAGAATCAACTATATAAACTTGTGATTTTAATTTTATTTATTGAAATGTTCAATGAGATCTTTAGAGAAACTATCTTGATGCATAGAAAATCCAAGAGAATTACACCAATGGCCTCCAACCTATGTACGTAGTTTGTTAAAAAAAAAATAAAAAAAATAACGTAGTCCTATTCTTATCTATTGTAGGCAACAAGCAATTCAACACGCATTTATCCATGATGAACAGTGATGTCAACCGGCAAGCATATCTAAAAACAACGATTATTGGTTAAACTTTGACGGCTCGTTAATAAATAGACTTGGAGTTCGACAAAAATCTCCAAAATTGAGTATTGTTTATTTCACCATTAAAAAGTCAATTTCTTTTGCAAGCACCACAAAAACTTTATTTTTAGTTAAAATAAATAAAAAGTAATAAACACTAAAGAAAAGAACAAAGATAAAATTAAAACAAAGAATTCTATAACCCATTCTATCCTATCCCCTACTATAGTCAAAACCCCTCTCCTCCTTCACCAAGAGAATTATGCTGCATATATAGAAAGCAAATTCTTTTGTGCAAGCAACCTCATCTGTGTCAATGATGGCCCTACTATTATTTCCCATCAAAGGATGCCATGGGACGATCTCTCTATTAATATTGATATTTTCTAAGAAATTTTAGTGCTCGCACAACACAACAGAATACATGCTGATTGGACCATAAACACATGGCTATTCAGTTAAGTTGACAATCGAGACTATGAATGGAGAATGCCTTACTTTTCTAGATGGAGACGACACTTATGTGCAAAATGTTACTCTTTTCAATACTCGATAATGGCAATACCACCTTAATATGGTATCAACACTTTCAATCATGGTATTGGCACTCATGCACGGCCAACAATAATTAAACTTTTTAAATGCAACATATACACAATATCAAACCATGCAATCCGCGCAAGTGTATGTAGCTAATAGTCCCATCGAGTCGTTTAGCAGGGATTTTGGGTTTCTTTTCTCAAAAAGAAAGGAAAAAATGAAAATCATAGGCCTATGCGGAATGATTCGACCCATTCAGTGCAATTCGACATGGAATGTGTTTATAAACAATAGTAGGTATAAGCGTTCAATAATAAGACTTGACAACTAACAAATTTACCATATGGTTCTTAATGTAAGGTGCTAGTTTACAGACATATTTTAAAGTGTAGATATGGAATGCCAACCCTCAAATTTTATTTGGACATCAACAACTAACCAAGTGCACGATATTCAATTAAAAAAAAAAATGTACCGAGCGCTCAATATAGTCATATTCTTATTATGCTCGCCATCCGTCACCGATGGCAAGGAGAATTTGAGTGGAAGCTTCAAAAATAGCCAATGCCTTTTTCAATGTACTCTTGAAGGAACCTCTGTCAAATATCAAAAGAAAAAAGATTGTACGGCGTCCAGTTATGAACTAAAGAAAATATTTCAAAACTTATGAACTCTAATAGGTAAATACTTACCACCAATTAATTACAATGAATTATAGTGAACTTCACTCCAAAAGCTCAGCCATAACTTTTCAAAACACAAGGGGACACAAAAATGTCAATAGAAATAATGAAGTGCAACTTCCAAACTTCCAGTCCACAAAAGGCAAATGAAAACATCGAGAAAACTTAGTTTATTTTTAGTGATATTTATATTTTGAGATTATTTTTCATGTTATCGATTTTAAGGTTTGCTCTTAATTTTTTGTGTCAAAAAGAGGACAAGGGTCGAAGAGTATTTGTAGAAATATGAGGGTTCTGAATGATTATAAACTGCTTGATCGTAGCCTTTTCCTTTTGTAAACAGGGCCGTTAGGAAATTTCTGCTTTATTGATCGATAATACTATGGGATCCTATTTATAATACAAGAATGTGGTATAAAGAAGGAATATAATCTCCTAAAACAAGAAAAATAAACTTGCCTCAACTATGAGTGAATCAAATAAGGTATACAATCAATGACTTAAATCCTACATTTTAATCCAATGATTCTTGGAGTTTTTACACTCTCCTCAAGTTAGATCATAAATATTAGCCATATCCAACTTGCAGATAAAGTTATCGAAATTTCGTCATGGTAATCCTTTTGGTGAAGATACTACAGTTTGCTCTGTAGTAGGAACATAGGTCATGCATACAATTCCATTTTCAACCTTTTCTTTAATAAAATGTTTGTTCACTTCTACATATTTAGTTCGATTATGTTGAACTGGATTGAGAAATATTGATAGCTGCTTTGTTATTACAATAGAGTTTGATAGGGAATTTCACTATAGCCTATTGTTCTCCCAAGAGTTCTTTTAAACCATAGCCCTCACATATCCCTTGTAATACTGCTCTAAACTTAGTCTCAACACTGCCTCTAGCCACTGCATTCTGTTTTTTCTTCTCCAAGTTATCAGATTTCTCCATACAAAGGTACAATAATTAGTAGTTAATCTCCTGTCTTCTATTGATCCTGCTAAATTAGCATCAGTGAATACTTCCATCTCCTTACTTTCACTCTTTTTGAAGAAGAGTCCCTTTCCTGGGGAACCTTTTAGATATCTAAGAATTCTGTATATTGCTTCTAAGTTCCTTTGGAGAATACATATGTTGAATTACCACACTAATTGCAAATGCAAAGTTTGGTTTGTACTAGACTTTGATAATGATCCTTTTCAACTGGTTTTTCACCGTCCTATAATTTTCTTCCTCCATTTATAAGTGTCACTTGGTTTGCATCCTAGCATGCCAGTTTCAATTAGGACATCAAGCACATATTTCCTTTGAGAAACGCTAATTCTCCTTTTTATTTAGCCCATGTTTGAGTCACATTCTAGAAAAAAATGCATTATTCATGTCAAATCAATGAAAAATATGTGGTTAAAAAATATGAAATGTTTTAGATTTACATGTAATATTATTTTATTGAAGAACGTGTGGTTGAAATGATGTCAAATCACTGTTGAAGAATGTATTTTTTTAAAAATAATGTGGCTCGAACAAGCCCCTAGCAAATTCCATTCCCAAGAAGTATCTCATTTGTTCTAGATCTTTCACTTCGAACCCTATAGCTAGGCTTATCTTCAATCTTTCCATTTCTACTGTATTGTCTCCAATTAGAATTATGTCATCGACATATAAAATTAAAATTGCCTTCTTCCCATCTTTAGACATTTGGAAGAATATAGTATGATCTGATTATTCTTATTGATATCCTTAACATTTCAACACTTTCACAAATTTATCGAACCATGCTCTTGGTAACTATTTAAGGTCGTATACAGAATATTTTAGTTTACAAACCTTGTTCTTTTCATTTCTTCTACAAAAACTCAGTGGTAATGTCATGAAGATTTCCTCTTCAAATTCCCCATTGATGGATGAATTTTTAATGTCAAGTTGTTGAATGGGCCAATCCAAGTTAGCTGCTAGAGATAAGAGAACTCGAATTTTGAATATGCGAATTTTTTACTATCAAGGTTAGAGGAAAAAGCAAGAATTTTTGTAGACAAAGCATTATAAGATGCGAATTTTGAGATAGGGTGGACAGTACATGATCGAGTTTATTTTCTAAGGTGATAGATAGATCACTCTCAAAGGTAGATAGATCACTCTCAAAGGTGTCCTTATCGAAATCTGGAGCTACCATTGTTCCAACTCTCTTGGTGCTTCAGATATGAGATTCTCCTTGTGCTTTGATTTTGACTTTTTTGAGTAAACTAATATCTTCTTATCATTTTGTTTTTCTACGTCTCCCTTTGATTTCGAATTTCCTTATGTAAATGGCAAGTTAGATGGTGTGACGGGTTCCGAATGAGAGAGAGAAGAAGAATCAAAAGTCCAAAAAACAACCTTCACTCACATTCTCTCCCTAAAGAGAGGGCTTGTTGAAATAAGATGTATTTTCAAAGAATGTGATATCAAGGCTGACAAACACATTTCTTGTGGACGGATCATAGCATTTGTAATCTTTTTGAGTTGGTGAATATCCAATAAAGACACACTTAGATGAACGTGGATCGACTTTACTTCGACGATGGGGATGCACATGGATGAAAGCATAATATAAACACTTTGAGAGGTAAGTTAAAATCGAGGCAGGAATTAGGGAAGTAATTCTAAATTTTTTTGAGAGGAGAGTCAAACGATGGAGTACGACTAGGCATCCTATTTATGAGATAAGTGGATGTTAAAATGGCACCTCCCCATAATAGTTTGGGCACATTTATGGTAAACATCAAAACATGAGCAACTTCTAGAAGGTGCATGTTTCTTCGTTCGAAAAAACCCCATTTTGTTGCCAATGTCAACACAAAAGCTTTGGTAAATTATTTCATGTTCTTGACGGTAGTCTCTAAGAGTGGCATTAAAGTATTTTGTGCCATTATCAATGCACAGAATTTGAATAGTTGTTTGGTATTAAGTTTGCACCATAGAGTGGAAGTTGATGAATAGAGATCCGACTTCGATTTTTTTCTTTTAGTACATACAACCAAAAAAAAAAATGCGAGTATGGTCGTCATTAAATTTCACAAACCAATTTTTGTAAGTGCGATTAGTGGTTCGTAAAGGGCCCCATAGATCACTGTAGATTACAATGAATGGTTTGTACGTAGATCTTGGGAACGGGAGATGTTGATGTTTTGCCAACTCATAAATTTAAGATCAACGGACGTTTTATATGAAAATGGAAGGATATACACATTTTAGGTGTTGAAAGTTAAGATGACCAATTCTAAAATCCCATAGCATAATTTCATTATCCTTGGGGACAAATGCAAAACCACAATTTGAAATTTGATACGGTTTACTCAGATTGACTTCATTAAAGTAATAGTCTCTCACACTCTTTAGCACTACCAATCGTCTTTCCCAAAAATAGATCCTGAAAAACCAACGAGAATGGAGGAATATAGCAAAAAATGGAGCTTTTTGTTAACCTGCTAATTTACAATAAATTGCAGGATAGATTTGGAACATGAAAAATATACTGTAATGTTATATGGTTAGAAATTTGAATACTCCATTTTCCCTCCATCGTTGAAAATAAGTTATCTGCAATTTTCACTATAATATTGTTAGCACACAATGAATATGATGAAAAAAGGAGGAAATAGTATGTCATGTGGTCGGATGCTTCAGAGTCAATAATCTAAGGAGAATCAGACTGTGCAATGGTATTTAGTACTCTAAAAAAAAATTATCTTTGTGGGCTAGAGAACTTGATGGTCCAGAAGTTTGGAGTCTAGAGAACATTTTGTAGAGCTGTTCCAATTGCTCTGCATTGAACACACCGCTTGAAGTGGATTTATTTTTTATCTCAGTAGAATCAACCGATGCTTGATAGTCACAATTTTTTGTGTTTTGTCTTGATTTTCAATCAATTGGTTTTGTGTATATCCCAACAATTATCTTCTTTGTGCCCCGATTTACGACAATGGTCACCCATGTATGTTCTCTTTGTTGTTTTGGGCTTGGCTTATTTACAATTGGTCCTATAGATATTAAAGCAGATCCATTAAGGCCCAATTACTTTAACCCAATTGCTGTAGACCCATGAAGCTGGCCCATTCCTTGAATACCACTTTGTTTAAATTGAGCTAACCCATTAGGCCCAATTTCATTAGACAAAAGGGCTTAAGCGTCTTCTAGCCCAATTATCTTATCCTTAAGCGTCATAGTCACCAGTTTTCTTCTCTCCGCACCTCCAAAAACACCTCTCGCATCGACGACGGAGGGCGGCGACCGAGGATCCTTCCCCTCACATCGTCAAGGTCGTTATTGAGTCCAGCCACAAATTCATAAACCTGTACATGTTCTAGCTTCTTCCTGTACCGAACGCCGTTATCTGTACAGTCCCATTCCTCGTCAAAGTTCAAATCGATACCATGTAAATAGAGAAGATAGGAAATTTCTGTTTTATGTATTGATGATTGAGACACTATTCTGGGATCCTATTTATAATACAAGAATGTGGTCTAAAGAAGGAATATAATCTCCTGCAAAAAGAAAAATAAACTTGCCTGAATCAAATAAGGTATACAACACATTTAATCCCATGATTCTTGGGATTTCTACACCTTTCATTTTTTTTCCCTTCTTCAGTTGAATGTCATAAAAATCGTAAGAGAAAAAAATAGCATTGAAGAAGAAAAAATGTAAAAACAAGATTAAAGAATACACTTATGCATACATCTGGATGGATTTTTTCCTTAGGAAGGATTTCAATAGAGCAAATTTTTGCTTCAAACTATAGAAAGTTCAAAATAATCAGGTGCCAATATAAGATGGTACACAAAAAAGCATAGATCAATTTAGTCACAAAAAATAACAGACAATGATGCTAAAATAATGCAGTACTAATATTGTCTAACTTGGAAGAGTAAATTCAATAGTGCGTTTGTCATATGTGTGCCGATATTTCCAACAAATGTTCATAACATTAGGCACTTAATGGATGCTTTTCAACTCCTAAATATTTGTTCATTAAGAGCTAGATATAGATTAGTTTACAAAATAACAAATCGTGCTTAATCAAGATTTTAGGCTAGCCAATTCATTTAGCTCGTCCTGCCAAGTCATACAAGTTAAATAGATGTGCAAGAACTATTCGAGCTTGCCTCTAATTGGCTTGTTATAAATAAACCAAGGTTAAAAAAAAAATATTTAATTTGATAAGAAATCAAAACATTGGACACCCTAGCACTCAGCTTGGCTTGTCTTTCCTAATTTACATCCTTAAAAACAGACAGGACATTCCTTATATATTCCAAGTGAGATGAACAATATACAGATAACAACAAACTAAGCCTTATTCCCAATAGATTTGAGTTGACCACATCCTTTTTCGCCGCTCCGTTCAATACATAGCTAGAACTGCTGGAAAATCCAAAAAAATAAAATCCTGAAACAATCTACATCTCCCTCTAACATGTTCTACAGAGACCGTATCACGCTTATGAAACCTATTTGTGTCTACTAACATGAACATACTAAGTCACAATAAAGTATGAGGAAAAAGAGAGACTTTGAGCTTTGAGCATTAGAATATTTATGATCAAATTTTTTAACTTACTTGGTCTGCAGCTGCTTGTAAAATAATGTGATCTCCCACTCCCCCAGCCTGATGAAATTAAAATCATGTCAATGAAAATTACACCGTCAAATGAGGAGAAAACTGTTACCCAAAGTCTAGGTATCTGACTTTTTCATCTTCTTCGTGTAGCTTTTGTACTTCATGGGGACATAACCTTCATAGAGCTTTTGTGACGTTTTAACTGAAAGGAAATCAAGAAACTAAAATGAGAAAAAGAAGATGCAATTTCAGAAGAGATGCATAATACAAGTACATCTGAGATCATAATCTAAGGAAAAAATTTAAGAAACAGTTGTAAATGGAAACTATTAGTAATGCTGAGACACTAACCAAGAGAAACCCGTTATTGGAAATTATTATGGTATGTTACGAGCGAAGATCACTGTGAGAAAGGAAGAAGCAGGGAAGGTGCCTAGGTGCCCAATTTCTGCTTCTGTAGAAACGGGGGGGCGCCGTGCAGAAACTTGGCGCCTGGGCGCCCGATTTAGTTTTTTATATAGCTTTTTTTTTCCCTTCATCAATGATCGGGTTTTTGAGAGAAGAAAAGAAGAGAAAGCTTGGAGAGAATTTTACAAGAAAGAGGTTGTTCTTTTTTGGTATAAATTCAAAGCTATTTTTCTTTCTTGAGGATTAACTTGAGGCTTGTTCAAGTAATCCAATCCATTGTTCCTCATATATATTGAAAATCATTTCTTCCCCAATTTTCTTATCTCTCTTTTCATCTTCAAATGGTTTGGGATTTTCACATTGCAAGTTTATTTGTTCTTGGGCAATCTTGGGAAGTGTTTTTCCCCAACAATTTGGTATCAGAGCTTCTTCTTAAATCAGGGTGGTTAAGCTCCGATTTTTGGTGAGTGGCTTGAATTTTGCTGTGCACACAAGGTGTTTGTGAAAATTTCCAAGTGAACTTTGTTGTTTTATTTTCGGTAAATGAGTAGATAAATCATGTCTATTAGAGGAACGGTGAAAATTGGGAAGTATGAGATAGAAAAATTCAATGGGAAGAATGACTTCTCATATTGGATAATGCAAATGAGAAATTTGTTAATTTCTCAAAAGTTGCACAAGACATTGGCGGGAAAGGAGAAGAAGCACATAGATATGTCTGACGAGAATTGAGAAGATCTAGATCTTGAGGCACGAGCGTCTATCATTCTATGCCTTGAAAAAGATGTTGCTTTCTTGGTTGATGGTGAGGAAACGGCGGCAGAGGTGTGGACAAAGTTGGAGGCGAACTTCATGACGAAGACTCTAACAAATCGGATCTATTTGAAGTCCAAATTGTATACTTGCAAGATGGATGAAGATACACCAATCTGGGAGTACGTCAACAAGTTTGATAGGTGCATATCGGACTTGAAGGACATTGATGTGAAAGTAGATGATGAGGATCAAGCACTTCTACTACTTCTTTCATTGCCAAAGTCCTATGAGAACCTAGTACAAACATTGATGCTTGTGGGTGATAAACTTGTGATGGAGAACACTAGAACGTCACTTCTAGCGGATGATCTTCGAAAGATTGCAACTAGTGGCATGTCTACTATTGGTAACAATGAGCAAGCTCAATGATTATTTGTGAGAGGTAGAAGCAATGTGCGACCAAAGAGCAAGGGAGAAAAATCTAGATCGAGTTCTAGACCTCTTGTGGAAAGGCCTTGTTTCAAATGCGGCGAGCTTGGGCATTTCAAAGCAAATTGTACTAACAAAAGGGGTTGGAAGAAGAACAATAAGAACAACAACAACGGGAAGGTGCAAGTCAAGCAAGAGGTTAGCTATGCCTCGGAAGGAGGGGAAAGCGATGAGTGCTACACCATCTCTTGTGATGAAGAAATCTCCAGTAAGTGGATTCTTGACTCTAGATGCTCTTACCATATGTGTCCAAATAGGAAGTGGTTTACTACCTATAGAAGCACTGATGGTGGAACCGTGTTGATGAGTAATAACCATTCCTGTAAAACGGTGGGGCTCAGTTCAATTAGAATCAAGATGTATGATGGAGTGGTTAGAACATTGATGGATGTTAGACATGTTCTTGATTTACGGAAGAACCTTATCTCTGTTGGTGCTTTAGACTCCGGTGGTTGCAAGATTGTAACATGAAATGGAGTAAAGAAGATTGTTCGTGGTTCTTTGATTGTGATGAAGGGTATTCATGAAGGCAATCTCTATGCTCTTCAGGGTACTACAGTTACAGAAGATGTAGCGCTTGGAACAAGTGGAAGTGGTGGAGACCCATGTGAGTGCACTCGGCTATGGCATAGGAGGCTTGGGCATATATCTGAAAAGGGGTTAGATCTACTAGTCAAGAAAGGTTTGCTAAAGAACTTGAAGAAGCCTTGCATGGATTTTTGCGAGCACTGCGTGTACGGTAAAGCACACCAAGTTCAGTTCCAACCAAGCAAACATAGAAGCAGAGGTATTCTAGACTATGTGCACACGGATGTATGGGGTCCGGCGTCTGTCGCTTCCAAAGGTGGTTCCAGGTATTTTGTCACATTTGTTGATGATTATTCTAGATATGCTTTGATTTATTTTTTGAAGCATAAGAATGAGGTATTCGACACTTTCAAGAAGTGAAAAGCAATGGTTAAAAACAGAACAAGAAAGAAATTGAAGACACTGCGATCTGATAACGGTACTGAGTATACAGATGGTGCTTTCAAGGAGTTCTGTGGTAAGGAAGGCATTGCGAGACACTGGACAGTTAGGAATACACCGCAACAGAATGGGGTCGCAGAAAGACTGAATCGCACATTTCGAGAGAAATCGATGTGTATGCGATCCTATGCTGGTTTGGACAGAGTCGGTTGCAAATGCTTGCTACATAGTGAACCGATCTCCACATTCAAAGTTAGATGGAGATGTACCTTACAGGGTATTGATAGGAGAACATGCAGATTATGAGAAACTCAGAATATTCGGATGCACAGCCTACTATCACGTCAACGAGGAAAAGCTTAATGCGAGGGCCAAGAAGGCTATATTCTTGGGGTATGCGGCAGGTGTAAAAGGCTATCGCCTATGGAGTGTAGAGGATTCGAAGTTCATAATCAGTAGAGATGTTACTTTTGATGAGAACTCCATAATAGCTTCATTGAAAGCTACAGTGCCAGGTGGTGATGATGTTAAGACTACAAAGTCTCAAGTTGTTGACATAGAACATAGAGATCAACTTGGTTCCAGTCATGTTCAAGAGGAGCATCATGCAGACACTCAAGATGAGAGTGATGATGAGCTTGAACAAGAAGCGGTTTAGCAAGAGAATGTACAGACACAGCAACAATAGCAGCTTGCAGATAACTTGGCTTCCTCTAGGCTACGGCGTACTTACAAGCAAGTTTTAAAGTTAGGGTCAGACGAGCCTTTGAGGCACTATGGGCAGACAAATTTGGTTGAGTATGCACTCTCGGTGGAGAATAATGAGCCTGCCACTTTCAAGGAAGCTATTTTAAACAACAATAGTGAGAGTTGGTTGGTTGCGATGGAAGAAGAGATGGAATCACTTCACAAGAACCAAACATGGGAGGTTGTCCCATTGCCCATAGGTAAGAAAGCTATTGGTTGCAAGTGGTTGTACAAAAGGAAAGAGGATCCTACCAAGCTCGGTGGTACAAGATTCAAAGCAAGATTAGTGGCTAAGGGGTTTGCACAAAGAGAGGGAGTTGACTACAATGAGATCTTTTCTCCGGTGGTCAAGCATACTTCCATTCGGGTGCTATTGAGTATTGTTGCTCATCATGATCTTGAGCTGGAACAACTCGATGTCAAAACCGCCTTCTTGCACTGGGACTTGGATGAGGAAATCTATATGCATCAACCTGAGGGCTACAAGGTTGAGGATAAGGAACGTCAGGTATGTCGCTTGAGAAAATCACTATATGGATTGAAACAATCTCCTCGGCAGTGGTACAAGCGATTTGACTCCTTCATGCTAAAGCATGGTTTCTCCAGAAGTGAGTATGACTGTTGTGTTTATATTCGAAAATTTCGGGGAGGTAGCTATATCTATCTTCTTTTGTATGTGGATGACATGCGTATCGCTTCGAAAAGCAAGATGGAGATAGATAGGTTGAAATCTCAACTTGGTAAAGAGTTTGAGATAAAGGATATGGGGGCTGTTAGGACAATACTGGGTATGGAGATTAGAAGAGAGAGGACGAACCGGCGAATGTTCTTGAATCAGAAAGGCTACATTGAGCGGGTTATTGCTAGGTTCGGGTTGCAAGGTGCAAAGTCGGTGGTGACTCCATTGGCTCCACATTTCAGGCTCTCTGGTAAACAATCTCCTACTACAGCGGAAGAAAAGGTACGCATGGATCGTGTACCTTATGCTAGTGCAGTTGGTAGTTTGATGTATGCCATGGTGTGTACACGCCCAGATATTTCACAGGCGGTTAGTGTGGTCAGTAGATTCATGGCGAATCCGAGGAAGGCACACTGGGAAGCTGTGAAGTGGATCCTCAGGTACTTAAAAGGTACCGCGGATACGGGTTTATGTTTTGGTGGAGATGCATGTCATATAAGTGGGTTTGTGGACTCGAATTATGCAGGTGATCTAGATAGACGACGATCTACTACTGGATATGTGTTTTGCATACATGGTACCCCAGTTAGTTGGCGATCAATGTTACAGGCTACAGTGGCTCTTTCTACTACAGAGGCCGAGTATATGGCCATGGCAAATGGAGTGAAGGAAGCATTGTGGTTGTGGGGTCTTCTAGATGACTTGGGGATTGAGCAGGATTGTGTAGACTTGTGGTGTGATAGCCAGAGTGCGATTCACTTGGCTAAGAATCAGGTTCATCATGCTCGAACCAAGCATATCGACGTCAGGTATCATTTTGTGCGTAATGTCATAGAGAAAGGTGATATTTCTCTCTTGAAGGTACACATAAATGAGAACCCAGACATGTTAACCAAAGTGGTAACGGGTAGCAAGTTTTAGCATTGCTTGGACTTGCTTCACATTAGTCCGTGCTGATATGCCCGAGTGGGCATGGCCCTTCAGGGCGAGTTGAAATGAGGTGAAAAGTATATGAAGGTGGAGGTAAGTACATAGGCAATCATGGTTTGAATGGTGCAACCGAGTTTGGAGCTTACTGCTTCTTCTTGTGTTCGTCCAAAATTTAAGGTCTATCAAATGATGTACAAGGTGGAGAATTGTGAGAAAGGAAGAAGCAGGGAAGGCGCCTAGTGCAAAAACTTGGCGCCTAGGCGCCCGATTCAATTTTTTATATAGCTTTTTTTTTTCCCTTCATCAATGATCTGGTTTTTGAGAGAAGAAAAGAAGAGAAAGCTTGGAGAGAATTTTACAAGAAAGAGGTTGTTCTTCTTGGGTATAAATTCAAAACTATTTTTCTTTCTTGGGGATTAACTTGAGGTTTGTTCAAGTAATCCAATCCATTGTTCCTCATATATATTGAAAATCATTTCTTCCCCAAGTTTCTTATCTCTCTTTTCATCTTCAAGTGGTTTGGGATTTTCACATTACAAGTTTATTTGTTCTTGGACAATCTTGGGAAGTGTTTTTCCTCAACAATCACTGATCTGATCGAAAGGATAAAATATCAAATGTCAATATGCTTAAAATTCTACTGTGTCGGGTCATGGTGATGAGTTGTTGAAAGATAAAAATTCTGAATTTGGCACCACAGGTGAAATGACAGGTAACAAAGGTTATTAGCTTTGTTACTTAGAAATCACTGGATTTCGCAGGTCATGAAGTTGGGGTGGGGGATGAGAACCTTTTCAGGAGACCATCTAAATGTCTTGGAAAATCAAGTGATAATTATCATTCTCAGATTACAAACTGCACTTTGAACGTATGAAATTTTACAAATTGATATGCTATGGACAGGGAAGAAATAAGAATATTGAATGTATTTTCATACCACAAAACTTGTTTTCAAAAGCTTATTGTCTAACCATACCTATCTCGTCTGAACCAATCCATAATCTTGTGTCATATGTTAACATGTGTTAAGTGTTATATTGTACATCATAAAAACTAGTTTCAATAAGACACTTGAATATGGATAACGGTAGCTTCCAAGATTTGCATAGTTGCTATTTCTTCTAAATTTAGCTACACGTGTCATTGAACTCTTACATTATTGGACAAACCTATATTATCTCAGAAGATTCGGAACAATCTGAATAATGACTGAGTGAGAGATAATGTTGCTTATGAGATTATTGAATCTCTAGTTTGGATTTATATTCTTTGACATGCAAAGTAAAGTGATGAGAGGTCATGTGTTTTTTAACTTAAAAAATATGAAAAAAAAAAAAACCAGAATAAGCCACGATATCACAAGTATAGTTAGAATAATGAGATGAAGAATTTCTTTTAGAAAATTGTTTATTAGTTTGAGGTGTCCCAACCCATGACTGAGAAAGTACATGTCCTTGAACTCCACACCAAATGAAAACATGTTCATTTTGAAAATCTTTAAAGCAATCGAAAAATCAGTTATTTTCAATTATTTTGGTCTGCTATCTATATCTCAAGTATCTGAATTGAGCATCAAATTTGAAAATTCTATTCTCGGAACTACTTTAATTCTTCAGGCATTTATTATAACAGTAAATTATAATATTTTTGAGAGATGATGGAGTTTAGCTATTCAGTTTTCCTGATGTATTTGACTCGGAACTAAAAGATGGTCTTCAGGAATGTTACGGCCGTCTTGATAATACAAGGTTTAGACACAATTTGTATGGTGAAACCTTTATATGTAGCTAGTGCATGACAAATAACGTGCGAAGGTGAAAAGGAGCACCCACTTGTCAAAATAATACTAGAAGATGAATGTTTTTTTAAACCTACCTAAGCATTGACTGCAAAAGGTAAAAGTTCAACTGAGGTTGAACTAGGATTTGAATAACACGATATATTTCAAGGTTGAATAGCTTAGGCATAATTTGTTTAGATATGCACAAGAAGCCCCCCCCCCCCCCCCCCCCCCCCCCCCCTTTTTTTTTACAGAAAATGTGAGTGCAGGAACACAGTAATTTAATTAAGTTAATTATAAGTTGTTTATTTAGCATCCTCATCAATCACTACACTAAGATTAGGATTGGAATAAGTCAATGCATGAGAAGTTATTTGAAGTACACCTGTTTGATGACCTGATCTGCTTTCTTACATACTTGTGGTAATCGGGATTTTTTAACGACTGATCTGTGAGCGCTCGAAACTGTCAAGTAAGTCAAATGGATTTGATTGTCACTCATTGGCAGCAACAAAACTGTAGAATGGCCTTGCAGGTATATACCTCACCAAGGTCCCAAATAAGGGTAACTTTAGATAAATTTGAAATTGCATAACAAAGAGCACGATCGACTAAGCTTAAAAAGTTACAAGTAAATAATTTTTAAATAAATAATTCTTTTAACTGTTATGGTTGGAAACAATAAGTTAATGAAAAGTACTTTTCACTTATTTTCAAGCTTAGCCGAACATGCAAAAAAGTAACAGTAAACTGATATAAATTGAACAAAACGACCCAAAGCATGGTAACATTTTCAATTTATCCTTGCTGCTTTCCATCAAAAATACTGATAACAGTATTGGCATAACTAGATACTATTTCCATAAACTCCTCGGTACAATTAGACAATTTAACAATAATTAGACTAGTCAAGAGAGACAAACCTGGCAATTCCCATCTCCCTGGATTTGTAATTCAGCTAACCCCTATGTTGTCAACCTGAATGACAGCTATGTTAAGGAAAGCCTTTCAAGAAAGAAGTATCCATTAACAAAAATATGGAACGTTCGAACGATCAAACAGTAATATCACAATCCTGCACATCCATATGACCAGGTTTAAAAAAACCCCTCCATCCTCTACAGGCAATAGCGAACAGACATGCCAAAAAATAAAACGAAAAGACATATTCATATCAGATATAGAAAAGATGCTCTCGAAGAAGAATAATGTTGAAAAAGGACTCATCAAAGCAAAACGCAAAAGACTAAAAGAAAAAAAGTGCATTTTATATATAGTCAAGAAATTCTCGAAGAAAAATGGTGAAAAAGTACCCATTAAACCATTATTGCAACAACTTCAAAACTCATATGGCTACCGAAGCTGAAAAAAAAATTAAGGCTTCTTGAATCTATTTAACTATATTTAGTAATATGCCAAAATATTTTATAGTTTTATCGAAATCCTGACAGGATAGAAATAGTAAGAGGAATTCTTCAAGACTGACCATCAACTCTCCAAACTCAAGTTCATAAAATTCAAAGCGTACTTCTCATTGTAAAAAAATTCCTCTTCCATCCCACACACTTTTGCATCCCATTATATCCTTAATTACTGCAACAACTCTCTATAATTATTTCTAAATAGTTCAGTATAGTCCCTACAACAATCAATTGGGAAAAATTTTCTTTCGTAAACAAATAATTGCAATAATTGTTCCTAACTTCTTCCCATTTATTCTATTATTCCTGGTGTCAATTCTTTATTTTTCTCCTACTTACTTTATTGTTTGTGTTCTTTTTTTCAGTCTCTTGTTTCCATATGCAAAAGAACAAAGAATGTAAGCCAGTCATCAGATGCTCTGATTTTAAGACTGGGAGAATAGGAGTACAAGTAGTGGAGACGAAGAATGAGGAGGAGGAGGAGAAGGAAAAAACTATTTTAGGATTTTCGAAAAAAAGAGACACTTGAAAGACTTATAAACATTAGGAATATTTTCAATTTCTCTCTCCATAAATGTCCTTAAAATATATCCTAAAATAATAAAGAGTAACAAGTACACGAAAAAAATACAGAATGTAAAACAAAAACGAGATTAAAGAAAAAAAATTTAACCTCTCAGCAAGCCTTCCATGGTCTAAGGTTGCATCATTTGGATCAGGTGTATCACCAATTACCCAAGGCTTATGCTGAAAATTCCGTGAATTTGTAAGCTTGTGTATAGCCAAAATCGCCCAACACAAATTGCTTAGCAGTATTGAGTTTTTCCTCATTCGGCACACTCATTATATGTTGTTTTAACAGTATAAAATGCAGTATGATTCAGAATCCTCGTTAAACAATAAGCAGATTCTTGCAAGTTTCGACATAATAAAATGCAGTACATTCCATATTCCTAGTTAAACAATATGCAAATTCTTGCACGTTTTGCAGAAAGTAAACAAATTAGAAAAATCATCAACCACAAGACAAGAGAATGATAATCAAGAAAGACTACTTAAAGAGCGCACGGACAACATATTCAAGTTCATGATCTCCATTTATTTAACAATAATTTCATTATTAGGATTCAATAAGGGAGAAATTTGAGGAATTGATGATAATATATTAAAATACCGGGATCGAATCCAAATGAGAAAGCCTCTTGCCAAGTCTGCCATCATAATTTAATCTTTCTTCTTCTGCTAATATTTCTGCAATTGTATGATCATCCTCTGTATCCTGCGAACTGCTATTCGAATGCGAGCTCGAGCTAGCACTTTGACTTCCATATTGCTGGATCATTCTATTTTTCTTGTATAAACAATAAATTCAAGCACCACCCAAATATAAAGCAAAAAACAACCATTAAATTACCCAAAAAATGAATGATCGATATAGTTTCTTGATCAAATATTTCAACAAAAACATACCCAAAAGAGAAATTTTAAAAATTTATCGAATACCCAGAAAGAGTGAAAATATCCAAGAAACAAAGAGAATGGAAAGCGAAGAGTTGAGTTTTGTTGTAAATTGGTTTCCAAATTAACATGAAATATGGGAAATTAATTAAGTAAAAATTGAAATCAGAATGTATGATTAACCAATCAATTTCGATGGAATATTCGGATTTTATTCGATGGTCAAATTATAAAAGTAAAAAGGCCAACTTGTTCTACTCATTGAGTAGATGATCGTAGTATATTTGGATATTAGAAACCAATTCCGAGTGAATGAGAAATTGCGGTTCAAAGATTTGAGGAAAATACGGTGAAAAATGGCTAAATTATATTGTCGCTCGATATTCGCTCGAGCGAAAAGTAAGCGAAGTATATTCTGCTCGGATTTTTGAAGCGATGCTCGATCGAAAGCTAGCGAAGATAGAATGTTGCAACTATCCGAAAGATTGCATGATTTAGCCCACACCACTTTATCCACACCCCTTCCTCCTCTATAAATAGGACCCCTTGGACGTCCTTAAAGGTACACCAACTCATATTTTGCATTGAGCACTCGTCTTCTCTTGCAAAATCTCTCTTCCTTTTTTCTTGCATAAAATCCCTTTGTAGAGGGGGAAATTCTGTTGATTCGTCAGTTCTTATGGTGTGAAATACTGCTACCACAAGATAAAACATCCGTTGTATTTTGAAAGACAAGTGCCATCAATCGTGAGCATCATAGTGGGGCAATATTGTCTTAAGGAGAAAGTGACATCACTTGCCTCGGATTTCATTTCTTTTTCTTCTCCTTTTCTTGTTTCATTTTGATGTCTTGATTTTGTGGTTTTGTATTACACTTTCAAGTTCACATATCGAGAGTTTGATCACGCTCCTGTGGGTCAAACATTAATTTGTTTTGATAGAAATATCAACAACAATCTTAAGACAATATTTGTCGGTGGTTGTTTTGATTTTTTTTTTTTTTAAAACCCATACTTTGTTCTTCATCTTGGAATAGTCTTTGTGCGTTGTTCCTTTTCCTTATTTTGCGTTGTGATAATCTTATGTTTTTGTAATAGAAATGAGTACTGTAGAGGCTTCAAATCAAAACGGTATAAATATAGTTACGCCTATGGCTATAAACACTTCAATCCCGCATGGTGAAATACTGAAAA